TTCAATTAAAGCCACCAACTTGGGACAGCATTAAAAAGTGGTTAAACAAATTCATGGAGCATAAGGCTATCAATGGCAACTAGCCATAACAGCTCTATTACTTGCAGTATGCCTTAGTTTTCTGGGAATCACAAACAGGAGAGTGCTACTCTACTCATATTTTGCTTGCATTTGGTTGGTCACTGTGATGAACAGAATGCCCCTTTTGTTTGACCCAGTAGGGTTCCTCTTATGCTCATATGAACTGCAGCTCCTTAGTGATATGTATCTGCCTGACAATAATTTTGCTCCAAATAAGAGTATGTAGTATAATATAATCAGTATTGTTGTTGTTGTTTAGTCGTTTAGTCATGTCCGACTCTTCGTGTCCCCATGGACCAGAGCACGCCAGGCACTCCTGTCTTCCACTGCCTCCCGCAGTTTGGTCAGACTCATGTTTGTAGCTTCAAGAACACTGTCCAACCATCTCGTCCTCTGTCGTCCCCTTCTCCTTGTGCCCTCCATCTTTCCCAACATCAGGGTCTTTTCCAGGGAGTCTTCTCTTCTCATGAGGTGGCCAAAGTATTGGAGCCTCAGCTTCACGATCTTTCCTTCCAGTGAGCACTCTGGGCTAATTTCCTTAAGAATGGATGCGTTTAATCTTCTTGCAGTCCATGGGACTCTCAAGAGTCTCCTCCAGCACCATAATTCAAAAGCATCAATTCTTTGGCGATCAGCCTTCTTTATGGATAATCAGTATAGCAATTAATAAATAACTGGTTTCTATGCTTGTAAAACATTGAAAGCCTATTTTGACATAAAGTGATTTATACTAAAGAAATAAACAATCAACTACATAATTAAAAGGGGTCCTTTAAATGCTTCTCCAACAGCTTTGAAAGCTGCTCTTCTGTGAGTCATGAGCCATATTTAGATAAGACAAACACAAGGGTGGGATGATTGTATGCGTCTTCCCCATAGAATTATCACTACCACAATGCTCAGTCCCACACAATCAGCCTCTATCCACATGGCTGTTAATATCCAAGCAAAGTATGAGTTGCTCAAACCAAAGGTGGCTCTCATATATATACAGCAATGTTTTGGCCCCATAATTAATTTCTTTCTGCTAAGTTAAATGACAAAGAAAACTCTCCCTCCTTTGCAAATCTGGAAAATGATCATGTCCCAAAAGTATATGCCGCGAAGCAATGGGAGAAGAAACTGTCTCCTTCAAAGATCTTAAGGAAGAGCACAGGTGACTATTTCATTTATATCCAATGCCTTAAGTAGAACAAAGAGACAAGGCAATTCATTTTTCTTCTTATAAATTAAAAAGAGCCATTAAATGGAAATCATTTTCCATTTTAAAGTAGCACAAATCATTGGGTTTGATTTTTTTTTCTTAATCCCAGTTGATGGGAATAACCCACATCCTGACTTTCAGTTACATCTTCAATTTGCACCTATGTATTAAATTTTGCAAAGAGAAGGAAAAGAATTTGACCCACTAATGTTAAAGGTCTATTCACAGGATTGTGGAAAGTAATTACTCATGTCAAAGAAAAGTACTTAAAAACTATTTTAGAAAACCCTACAGACTTCCACCTTCTGGCTTTATCAGTCTTTGCTACCGGAACATAATCATGAGACTTCGCTTGATTCTGTATGCCTAACCATGGACACCCCCAGGTCTGAATCTTTGCTTTCATCTGCCTATACAGAAGGACATTTTAATGCATTACAGTTACCATCCCATCAATACGCCTACTATTGTCTTTCAAGACAAAAATCTGTCTGAAAAATTAATGCAAGGTGCTCACCACAACTTTCCGTGATCACCTTTAGCCAACATTGCTGTAATTCATGGACAGAAATTTCATTAACTGCATCATCATATACACATGAGGATCTACGAGTAAAGACCTGGTTGTTAATTAGTCCTATTTACAGGATCAAGAATGAGCAAGTTGCATGGATGGCCTATGCAGACAAGGATACAACCATTCAAGGTTAAACATTCAAGTCCCAGTGATTTCCATAAAAGAGGGCTAAAGGCTCATGTATCACTCTCCCCTACGTAAACAAATAGGATTTATAAACTGCATAATGTTGGATGACTTATGCCCAAAGAGTTTCCCATTTGTGGACCATACTTATTAATCACTCCAAAGCACATTTGATGTAAAGTGCTTGACAGACTTGTTTTCAATACCCTAGTGAAATAAACTGCTTAATTCCTTTCTGACTACTGAAATACCCAAGCTGACATAAAGGGGATCATATGTGCAGTTTAAAACAAACGCAAGTCCCAACTACCTAACTACCATAAAAGCTTATTCCAGGAGCCACCTAAGCACAGGTGTTCTAATGGATCTGCCCCCTTAGTCTTAAAACTAGCTATAGCTTGAATATCAAATACAAGCTCAAATTATGCAATCTTGGTGATGTATCTGTAGAAGTAAAGATATTTTCTTCACAGACATCTCCAAAAGAGTGCCCACCAGACTGACCCTAAAGATGCTTTACTTTAGGAAGTAACAGCACAATCCTTAACCATATTGACTCAAAAGTTCTGTTGAATTCAATGGGGCTTACTCCAAGGTAAGTGGTGTTGGGATTGCAGTCTAAATCATGCTAAATTCAGTGCAACTTACTAAGTATGCCTTATACCTGCAGGGTTTAGACACAGATTAGGATAAGGGGCAATGCTGAAATGTTGGATTTTCATTTCAACTAGGGAAGCAATATCTACAAAAAAAACTATTTAGAAATTTAACTTCCTTCAAAATCATATAAAGCAAAGAGTCTATTTAAAAAACTCTGTAAACAGGTGGGAAGAGAACAAAAGAAACAAGCAAAAAGCCCAAACTATTCCTGCTTAATTCCTTTTTTAAAAGAAATTTTCCTAATTCTCCTAACTGCACATACAGGATTGACAACCCTAGAGAACTATTCCTATTAAGGAACCCTTTTTAATTAAGATGGCCCCCACTGTAACCAATGTAGCAAGTATTTGTTAAGAGACAAAGACATAAGGATAGCAGCCCACATGCATCCATTTCTTCCTTTTGCAGGCTTTCAACATTATGATCAGATTGCCCTAAAAAAGCAGTTTGCTCCAGTTAAGTCTCAATTAAAGTGTGTTCTAGAAGACAGGAAGCTAAAGGGGGCGGCTAATCAGATGTACACAGAAGGTTCTTTTTTCCCATCCCTCTTGAACAGGAGTACTCTGACAAATCACTATTATAAATGCCAGAATTAAGCAGATTGCTCCCCACCATGTGAAATGAAAGCATTCTGGAAACCAGCTGTTTGTACTCTCCTCCGTCTCTGTCAAAGAAACCCTTAGGGACCTGATCTCTTGCATTCTCTAAAGTGGTGTGCAGTGGGTTTCCCTAAAGCTCTCCACTGTTAATACTTAAAATCCTCTCCACCTTCTTCGTAAGCAAACAAAAAGAAGGATGGATGTCTAGGAAGATTTCCCAAACTTTTCATTTCCTGAATTTTTGCTAGATTAAAGCCTATAAAATAGAAATAATAATCAAAACGAGCAAGTGAACTCATCTTCGGGAAGCAACAGAAAGTTAATGTCCAGAACGTTTCCGGCACTCAACTGGAAAGAGGAACAGGGAGATTTCTCACTGAGAACTAGACTTGGAAAAGCAAGACCACTTGTCATACACACAGCGCCCTGAACTGTTAGCAGCCGATTAATGGTGGCTGTTTTCTTTCTTTCATCAAGGCCATTGTGATGAGCTAGGATCACTGCATCCGATTTCAATATCTCCAGCTGATCTTATCCTTGAGCGTTTTCCCTCCCTATATTTTATCCTCCTCCTGGATCCGACATAACAGTTTCAGTGAAAAGCCAAGCTAACTGCATGTCCGTGGCTGAGAAGACAATAAAAGAGTGCCACCCATGTGCAAAGCCCAGAAACAGGCACTCCCGCTTTTCTGGGAGGAGAAATCCCTGGTGGAATAACGCTCATCTTAAAACGCGCACGCACACACACCCTCGTTGTCTTGCGAGCCTCGACAAGGAGATTATCTACCTCTGGCAGGTAGAAGTCACCTGCTTTTTTCAGCGTGCTCACAGGAAGGGATGAATGAATCCTTAAACTGCTGCTTGCGTTATATGAACACATCAATTTACAAATCATAAAAGGCTTGACAAAGGGGGATCAGAAGGCTAGGGCGGGGGGGGGGCCTTGTGGGTCTGGGGTTTGCAGTAACGACTGATAAACGTAAGCAGCTTGCTCAGCTGCCTCTCCTTCCACCGCGCGCCGCCGCTGCTACTGAAGCGGTCCGGTGCCTCCTAAAACAGATTGGCTGGGGTGGGGCTTAAGCAGGACTTGCAAGGTTCTGAGAGAGCTACTGCCATTGCAATGCAAAGTTTCCGAGTTCCGCCTCGCAAGCCGCGGCAAAAAAAGGGAAAAGGCGGTTGGATGGGGCAGGTGGCGGCGCCCTGGGATCGCGGGTCTCCTCCTGGACCTCCAAGGTAGCCAGCGACACTATCGAGATCTCTTTTCCTCCCACTTTCCAGCCCTTGGGCTTTTGCTCCCTCCTCCCCAAAAGCCACAATCCATAACGGTCGCTTTTCAGCACAAAATCGATTACCTTAAAGATAGAACACCCCACCCCTTTCCCTCTGTCCCCTTGATCCTCGCCGTCATTCACTCACACGCAGCCCAGTTTCTGCGCTAACTCGCGGCTGGAGGACGAGAGCAAGAATAGTCCCCGGTCCCACTTTTCAAAAAGAGAGCAGGAAAGAGAGATAGCCCCTAAGGGGAAGAGATCGGCTCCTCCACAATAGCTATCTATTGTCTTTGCAACAGATACACCGAATGCGTGAGCGAGGATTATTTCCTATTAATATATTCTCCTCCGTGATGACCCCCGTGCCCGTCGCGAGCAGCGCCTTTGCAGCTGCTTCGCACCTCCCTTTCTGTGCAAGGCTGCTGGGGCGGGGATGCCCCCCCCCCAAAAAAAATCTCCGTCCGCCACCCCTTCTGCCTTACCTGTTCTCGCAGCTGCCAGGCAAACCCAAACGCCTACAATTACATCCATCTGGGCTGGTCGCGCTGTATTCCCCGTTGAGATCCCGGCGCACGGCAGAGCCTGGCTCTAGCACTCTTCGGAGCTGCGGAGCCTCCAAACTTGAAGCGCTCGTTTTGCCAGGGCTTCGAATAGAAAGCGAGATGGGGAGGGAGGGAGGGAGGGGGGAGGAAGAAGAGAGAGAGCGAGAGAGAGACAGCGCACACAACCAGCGGCCAGAGCTGCTACCCTGGAAGAGCCCACGTGTTCTCCTCGGGGATGATCCCGGCTCTGGTTGCCTTTCCCCCGCGGGGCTCCGCGGCGCACGCCCAGCCTGACGCTCAATCTTTGTTCAGCTCTTTCTCCGCCGCCGCCCCCGCCGCCTCCAGTTGCCTCCGCCTGCCGCCAGGAGAGTGGCACCGTGAGCTCATCGCTTGAGCGGATCCCCCTCTTGGCGCCTAATGGATCAGTCTGAAGCACTACCAACCCCCTCTAAAGAGGGAGGCAAAGGCATCTTCTGAAAGAGCCTGGGCAAGTGAACAGGAAGGGAGGCTGTCCAGAGAGCCGTCCAACTTACTCCGAAAGAGAGAGAGAGGAGTCTGCTGCTGCTGCTGCTATAATTCGCCTTTCGTGATAAATAAGGGCGCTTCGACGGCAGGTGGGGGGGGGGCGGACAAAACAGTATCGCTTTATTCGGGTTAATTGATAGGGCTCCGAGCCCCACTGTCTCCCTTTCCATCCATGCGTTTATATACGTGCCAAATGAGGACACGCAATACGTCTGTTAAAGTAGTAGATCTGGACTACGATATGCGATAGTCCAAGACGTTTTGTTTTCCCTGTCTGCCTGCCCCTGGGAATATACCTAAGAACAAACTATCGGAGGACAAGGGGGTGGGTCGGCTTGAATATCTGGATCCTCCTGCCAAGTAGCAGGGAAGATTTTACTGCCCGTCATCTGCTGCTGAGCAGGAACATAGCTGCCTGTATCCATCCAGCCATTGACACCATTTAGAAATATTGATTAATAGATAGGCGGTGAAAGACTGCAAACAGCTAACCCAGGCATAGGCAAACTCCGGCCCTCCGGATATTTTTTGAGACTACAATTCCCATCATCCCTGACCACTGGTCCTGTTAGCTAGGGATGATGGGAACTGTAGTTCCAAAACATCTGGAGGGCCAGAGTTTGCCTATGCCTGAGCTTACCTTTTAACCCAGGGATGCGGGGACCTACACCTCCCCAAAGGTGGTTGGATTACAATTCACATCTCCACAACCATTGGTCATGCTGGCCTGGGGCTGATGAGAATTGGACTCCAGCCACACTTCCCTGCTTTGACCAGCTCGGTTTCTTGGCCCTATTCATGTTTATTCAGAAGTAAGCCACACTGGGTTAAATGGGACTTACAGTGGTACCTCGGGTTACATATGCTTCAGGTTACATACGCTTCAGGTTACAGACTCCGCTAACCCAGAAATAGTGCTTCAGGTTAAGAACTTTGCTTCAGGATGAGAACAGAAATCATGCTCTGGCGGCCCCATTAGCTAAAGTGGTGCTTCAGGTTAAGAACAATTTCAGGTTAAGTACGGACCTCCGGAACAAATTAAGTACTTAACCTGAGGTACCACTGTATTCCCAACCATGTGTATGTGGGCATGCATCCTGCTGTGACTTGTTTTATATTAAAAAAATAATAATCAAAATTCAGCAAACAGTGCCATGATCAGTTTGGCACAACTGTGTCCCATTGACTTCAGCAAGAATTGTGTGCACACAGAAGTTGTAACCAATAACTAGTAACCAAGGAATATGAAACTCTGCTCAGCAGCAGCAGCAGGGCTACAAGTAAGCTTTCGAATAAGAGAATTCATGCAGTGCGTTCCTAAGCACAGAAGTACCGGTAAATTCTTTTAAGATCAATTGAGCTTAATGGATCCATTGTTCTTAACAGATCCATTGAACTAAACACCTATTAAGTAAGCTTAGCATTTGCAGTCTTAGGAGGCAGGGAAGCTGCAATGAAAACACTTCTTCTCCATCCAAAACCACCAGCAATTTTGATACAGCTAACCATTAATTGATTGCATTTGTCATTTTCTTGCATTATTAGCAGCACTTTTGTGTGATTCAGAGTAGATCAAGAATATGTGGAGAATGAAAACAGTTTTAGGAATCTGCAAGCAAATGACACACAATGTAAGCATATTCTTCCTGCTCTCTACCTGTTGTGCTCGTTCTGCAACAGCTGGTTCTGTTTGCATATAGCTGGAATACAGAACATGGCAATCACAACCTTCAAGGTTTTTTGCAGCCTTTGTATTCTGAGGAACTTTTCAGATTTACAAATAAAATAGGAGCATTAGTTCCTTGGCATATATTCCAAATTCTACACCACATAGTTTGACTTTAAATAATTGGTTTGGCAGCCCTAACTAAAACTGACACTTTGCTTCCAATGCAGAGCAAAAGAACTAAAATGAGTTATTTTTTTAAAGGGGGGTGGGGAAGAAACAAAGATTTTATGAAACACGAAAATCCAATTTACAAGCAGTACATTATGTATTCCCCAGCAAAGGCTTGTGAATTCATTAATATCACTGTGAATCCATTAATATCACAGTGACAAGGAGTCCTGCAAACCTAAAGTAAACTTTGCAAACTGAAAGTTGCTGGCAATTGGACTATGCATTGGATAAAATTCGTCATATTCAAAGTTTGCTGCAGATTCTCTTCTGTATGCTAGTAGCAGCAGTATGTTTTCAGTTTCAGAGGACGGGCTTGGAATTTATCTTAAGCATTTATATCAAACCCTTCAACATTAACATTTCCAATCCAATTAAAAGACTTCTTTGTCTTCCTCGCCCACCTTGCCTCAAATGACAGGGATACCTGGAGAAGGGCCTCAGAAGAAAATCTTAATTGTGAAAAGACAACTTGCCCACAGTTCCTAAACTTTCTTTATAGTGCACACCTAAAGTTTGGTCTAAATCATGTTGGGGATGGGCTTTGCACGCACACTCCTCCACAGTTTGGCTTGAGGTGAATGCCCATGACTACAGTGGTACCTCAGGTCACATACGCTTCAGGTTACAGACTCTGCTAACCCAGAAATAGTGCTTCGGGTTAAGAACTTTGCTTCAGGATGAGAACAGAAATCGTGCAGTGGCAGCAGGAGGCCCCATTAGCTAACGTGGTGCTTCAGGTTAAGAACGGTTTCAGGTTAAGAACGGACCTCCAGAACAAATTAAGTACTTAACCTGAGGTACCACTGTATAGCAAAATGGTTATGTGACGGCAGCTTGTACTGTTTCCTGTGCCTGCTTTCCCCATAGGTTTCTGCCTCTTCTACCTAACCATGAGTCCCTTGGCATGTGTTCCTCCTCAGACCGTTTCTATTTAGCCATGTACAGAGAATGAAGACAAAGCCAAGCCTGGTGCTCCTGTCCACCATGGCATTTGGTTTCTGTCCCAAAGTTCACCCTGCCTTTCCCCCCTTCCTGCATAGCAAATTTAGCAGTGGAAATCCATCTCCTTACCTCAGCAGCTCTTTGGAGAGGCCCTTCTTAAAAAAATTTCACCAGGAAGTTTGTTGCCTTTCTCATCATAGTTTGCAATAATGGGAGAAACTGCACCTGGAGGAATTTTCCTTCCTGGGCTTCTCTTAAAGGCACAGGTGCCTTAGCAAGTTTCGTTCTGTCAGCTGTATGTTCCCCAGGGTTGTCTGGCCCTGAAAATTATCCAATCTTGCCACCTTTTCCTGGCCTTCCTCCTGTAGTTTTCAGGGCAGGCTGATGTAAAGAAATTAAGAGGGGAAGATGTTTCCCTCACCACCACCAATTTATCTCCTTATTAGGAGAAGCTTCACTAGTTCAATTTCCCCACCCCAAGCCTAGTGTTAAAGGTAGAGGAACAATATTCATCGACTGAGTGGGAAGTCGAGGAACAATACTTGTTCACTGTCCTTCACAATCCTATCTCTGTTGAGGGTTGCCTTATGGAAATCAGTGTTGGGGAAAGCAGCATCTACGTAGTTACACATTTCAGCCAGTCATGAGGCAAAACATCCCTGTCAGGAAAATATGGCAAATAGATCTCTAAGCATCCACCTATTAGGGATGTTGCAGCAGTGGACTTCCTTCACTAGGTGGTTGGACTAGGTGACTTCTAGAGACCTTCCAACCTTTTGATTCTATCTTTGTATAACATTTGTGGATAGCCTCACCTTCTCCATGTCTCACTGGTTTGGTTTACTTAGGCAATATAGCCCCCATTTTATATTCTCTGTGTGATGGAACTGCTGGTGTGCTGAGCTAGGATTCTACAGAGGCCAGTATCAATTGTATACAGTGGTACCTCTTGATACGAACAGGATCCGTTCTGGAGCCCCGTTCGCATCCAGAGCAGAATGCAACCTGTGTCTGCACGTCTGCACGTGCGCAGGTCGATTCACTGCTTTCGCACATGCGCATGATGTCATTTTGAGTGTCTGCGCATACACGAGCGACGAAACCCAGAAGTAAAGCGTTCTGTTACTTCCGGGTCGCCGCAGAGCGCAACCTGAAAACACTCAACCCGAAGCTACTTCAATCCGAGGTATGACTGTACATTTGAATATATGTTTTTTTCAACAAATTGGGGAAGACTTATGATGTCCACAACTGAAGTCATAATGTGATGGTTTCAAAAGTCACAGTGCAAGGCGGGGAAGAGGAACATAGGAAGCTGTCTTTACCAAGTCAGGCCATTTTATTTATTTTATTTCATAAAATTTATATGCCACTTGATTGCAGAAAAAGCCTCAAAGCCATTGATGAATCCGACCCAATATTGTCTTCATTGACTGGAAGTGATTGTCCAGGAGTCTTTGTCAGCCTTAACTCAAGATTCCTTGGGATCTTTTGCATGTAAAGCTCTACACACTTCATTGAGTTATTATAGGAAGTCAGGCCACTGTTCCAACTGGTTCCATATTGTTCGCACTAACGTGCAGCACTTTCCAAGGTTTTTTGGGGTTTTTTATTTTGGCATGGAGAGAGGGATTAGCCAGGGTCTTTCCTAGCCCTACCTGAAAATACAAGAGATGGAAGCTGGGGTCTTCTGTATGTGCAATACTCTTGAGCTCCGTCCCTCCCCTTAAATCCTTCTTTAAAAGTGTGTTTTTACACTAGTGGGTGGAAGTTGCACTAGTGTTTGATTATACTGACATGAGTGGTAAATCAACCCCTAAGCATTGTGAGGTTTAGCAGGTTAGGGAGGGTTGGACTTCGTTTGGAGAGACCCGGGTTCGAATTTCCATTTGGCCATTAGTTTATTGGGTGACTTTGGTCGTTGTGACTGTGTACAAATTACTAATCTGAAACGCAGCAATGTCATTCCTTTTCCCGATTCAAATCGA